AAATGAAAAATGATCGGCAAATGATCGGCAAAATGATTTGCAAAATGTGATAAAATTAAGCATGACCGCTATGCTATGCAGAATAATATCTGATTTATTCTAGTATTTATTTCTATATACTGTTAAAGATGCAAAATGCTTATTAAAACTTAGAATTGATATAAGATATTCTTATTTTAAAGTACTAATAAATATAATGAAGGATTTTAATCAATATTATTTTTAAGATTTATTAAATTTATGTAATTATTTTTTTTTAATAACTTTAAGATACTACAAAATAATCTATCATTTATGATAATTGTAAATAATTGATTAAAGAAAAAATAATAATAGTTATATAACTTATAAAATATTAATTACTCTTTCAGTTTAAAAGTTTTTATAAAGTTATATTTATTAATATAAAACTAATAAACTAAAATATTTTGAATGAAATCATAAAATATAAAAAAAATATTATCATTTGAATAGTCTTTCAAATAACAAATCTATATATTTAAAATCATTGAATATAAAAGTATTAAAATTATCTAACTAATTAAAAAAAAAATTAATGTTAGGGTATATAATCTTAATAAAAAGTTATTTATTATATTTTGTGAGCTTTAGGTTTAGTTTTAATTAATTTACTTAGTGTCTGAATCTCTATTACATAATATTCATTAAAGCTTTAAAAGACAGTAACTAATTTCTTTAACTGTTATATTGCTTCTATTATCAAAGCTTTCATCAACTTCACTGACCTTGATATAATTGCTTTTAGGAAATTAAAAGTTTATAATTAATTGTTAACATAAAAATAACAGTTTTGAAATTAATTTAGTTCTTGCTTAATTCTAAGGAATAATTGGTATATGTTAAGAATATGATTCAGAGTATAATAATCATCTTTATAAGATAAACTATATGTGTTTGAATTTTAAACACTATAATCTAAAGAGCAATAACAAATAAGACCTTCACTCTACATGTAAGATTTTCTGATAACTCTTTAGAACTACATGTATTTTTGACAATATGAATTATATATACTAACTGATCACATGCTATCTTAATGATTTTAATTAAATTATTTCTAATTTTATTAGTATTATTTCAATAGTGCAGTTCAAAGTTTTGCAGTATTCTCAGTTTTATTTCCTGAATATCATCAGAAAGAACAGAGTAGCATTTAAATCAAAAATTACAAATCACAATTTGTTAATGAGAAGAAACAATGTGAACTAGATTATAATAACTTACTGAAATAAGCAAATTAAACTAAATATTAGCATTCTTATTACTATTGTCAACACTAAGATAGTGATATCATGATACCTTTGATTCACCTCTACTATTGAAAAAAGTAAAATTACATAAGAATAAACAGTAGTATTAGTGAATCTATATATTAAAATATATCTATTGATTGAACACTCATTAATTTAAAAAATATTATACTAAAAAATATTAGCGTTTTAAAATAATACAAGTTAATTTTATTGATTAAGTAGAGGATTAGCATTTAAAAGTAGATTACTTTATTTCTTTGCAATATAAAAGAATAATAATTTTAATTTTTTATCTTAAAGAAATATAAAAATCAAAACAAGAAAAAAAAGATATTTTTGAATATTACTATTATTACTATTGTATTTAAATATAATTATATATGTATATATAATATATTTTCTTTACATTAAAAGAATAATATAAAAATTATTCTGATAAAACAAGATAAAGTTATTCTAAAGAATTGATAAAAAGAATCATTCTAATAAAATAATAAAAGATCATTTTAAAAAAATAATAAAAATAATCATTATAATAGAATGATAAAATATAAATTAAAAAAAATCATTTCTTTAGAATGGTCTTATTTAGTTTTATTAGAATAATTCTTTTATCATTACTTTAAAATAATCTTATATCATTTTATCAGAATGATTCTTTTAGAATAATATTTTTATTATTCTATTAAAATGATAGTTTTTATTATTCCTTTAGAACAATATTTTTATCATTATATCAGAATGATAGTTTTTATCATTTTTTTAAAATGTTCTATCAGAACAATAGTTTTTATCATTTTTTTAGAATAATGTTTTTATCATTTTATTAGAATGATAATTTTTATTGTATTTTTATTAAAATAATAGTTTTTATTATTTCTTTAGAACAATATTTTTATTATTCTATTAATACAATTTTATTATTGCTTTAAAATGTTTTTTTTATTATTCCTTTAATAATCATTTAAATTTTTTTTTAAAACATTAAAAGAAAAATCAGCAAATTTATTTTTTATTTTTATTGCTGCAAATTAGTTGATCTATTACATGTGATCAAATATTCAAATTCAATTATCTTCAAATCAGAATTATTAGAATTATTTTCCTTTTTATTGCAAAACGTCTATAATGTTTTTTATATTAATTAAAATGTAAAAATAAAAATTATATAAGTTTTATTAATAATAAAATATTAAAATACTTATTTTAAATTTTAAATAAAATTTAATTTTATATAATATCAAGTATTATATAATGAATATCATAAAAGAAAATTATGTAACTTTATGTATAAATATTATATAATATGAATTGATATTTAAAATAAAGTAATTTAATACTATAAAAATTATAATTATGCATTTATATATTATATGTAATTTATATTCTATAAAATGAAAATTTTCTATAATAATTATTCCCTATAATTAATTATTACTTTTATAACCAATTTAACCAATTTTATATTTACTAAAGATAGTATTATAATTAAGAAATTATAATTCAGTAAATTGTAATTTGAGTTAAAACAGTTGTAACTTCTTGTGAAATTTATTTTAATATAAAAATTTATAAATATTTGCAATTTAAAAAGTTAAAACTTTAAATTATAACTTGTTAAAATTTTTTAAATTAATTATAATTTCATCTTTAATAATTACATTTTTTTTAAAAATTAATTATCATAATTACATATTATATATATATTTAATTAAAATAATTAATGTTAAGTATAATTATTTTTAAAGTTTATTTTATTATATATTTTATATTAATAAATTTTAAAAAATCATTATTAAAATTTAATCATATTATTACTAAAATAAATTTAAATCAAGTTAAATTTAAGTTAAATTTTGTAATTTTATTAGAATAATACTTTTTATTATTTTATAAAAATAATATTTAATATTTCTATTAAAATGATTTTTATTATTTTAAAGATCAATATTTTATTATTTATTAGAATTTTTCTTTTATTATTTTAAAGAATAATATTTTATTATTTTATTAAAATTATTTTAATTATTATTTTAAATAATAATATTTTATTATTTTATTAAAATTATTTTAATTATTATTTTAAATAATATTTTATTATTCTTTAAAATAATATTTCTATTTAATTAATTATATTATATTTTAATAAAAAAGAAAAATATAAATATTTTTGATATTATTTTCTTTTAATTAACTTAAAATTTATAATTTTAGTTCTTAAATTAAGAAATTTAATTAAATTAAATATAATAATACAATTAAACCAAATAAATTATAAATAAAAGATTTTAAATTTAATAAAGACTAATTTTTTTAAAATAAATTAATTTAAAAATATCTAGTAAAATATTTTATTAAAAATCAAAGATTATAATAATATAAAAGAATATCTATACTCAAATATTTAACCAATTTATATCAAAAATTTAGGAAATAAGATTCTAATTTAGATAATTATATTTATTGTTAAAAAATATACTTTAAACGTCTCTTTATATTAGATGAATTATTTTGATTAATTAAGAAAATATAGTTTAAATAAAATAAATAAAATGTAAGATTTTATATAAAAATAATTTATAATAATAAAAACCTCTTAATGATAAATAATCAAAATGTATTAAGAAGATAAAAGTTATATTAAAACTAATAAACTCAAAAAAAAAATATTGATAATTTATAAATTAATAAATTTTCTTTATTGAATAAATTAAAATAATTTGTATTTTTTTTAATAATATATACAGAATTTGCATTTTAATTTCTAGTATTTTATTAAACAAAATTAAAAAAGTTTTATTATTTCAATAATATTCAAATAGCTAATTATTATGTCAGTAAACACTTTTTTACTAAAAGCAATTTCTCTTTTTTACAAACTTAATTTAAAAATTTTGACATAAATAAATATAATTTAGTTTAAAACAAAAGTCGTAATATCATGTGATATTAAAAATCTTAGCCGGGATTATGAGGAACTAATGAATGATTCAAAATATTTGGTCATGCGACTGTAACAAAATTTGGCACATATTAACCAGAACCCAAGTTAAAAGATAGATCGAAAGTTCGACGAAGATACATGACCAAATTTAATGCATGTTATCTGTTATCCAAACATTTTTGTAATATATGACGTAATTCAATAAAGATCATCAAAGAAAAATCGAATAAGAAGATTTTCTCGAGCTCGCCAAATTAAAGTACAATAGCCAAGATGAAAAATACACGTTTTCTTACTATTATATCTAAAAGGGATTTCGACAGGCCACTTATCATTATCATTAGAACATTTTTAAGAATTTCATAGTTAAATTATTTCTATGACATGATACAATAAGTCTTGACCTAAAAAAAAGATACCGATATGATTTACTTCTCGTTCCCATAATTGAAAATATCTTCACCCATATTGACCAATTTTATAAAAGATTTTACAATTTTGATCTTATGATTAACATTGATATGTTACAATATTTTTCTTTATTCCATTGAGGTTTCCAAACAAACATGCACCATTGCATCATCAACATTTAATTGGATGTGATGCATTTTTTTAATATATAAGACGAACTGTCTGGTTGGTTGATAATTTCGGATATTCTTTAATATAAAGGTTATTTCTTTAACCTTGACATCTTGTCGAAATTTTAATTGAATGTTTACAATAAAGGACATATTTGGACCTCCAATAGAATTCACCAATGAGACCATATAACCCAGTCCAGAAGATTTAGATTTAGGATCATTTAATTGATTCCAACTACATGGTTGTAAATCTATAGTAGTAGAAATTTCAACGATAATTTCCACATATACTCTTTACGCTTAATCTTGGCAATCAGATTGTATTGGAACTTCCTTTTTTGACATCGACGGAGGGCGGCAAATTTTCCGGTGTCTAATTCGAAAGTAAAATCTCCAACAGGTTTTGACGTTACCCACATGTTATTTGTTTACAAATAAATAGGTATCATTCTGGTGCCATTATCTCAATATTCATTCCATTCATGTCAAACAAAAACAAGTTCGATTTGGGATGCTAATAAGGGTTCAGATGGATTGCTTCAATGTTTCATAGTTGGGAATTATACGCCTCAGATTTCCATTTTGAAAATGATATTGATCGTTTGGATATGAAAAAAATTTTTTTACTTCTTGTGTGCTTTCTCTTGCGGGATATTATTATCAAGTTCTTGCATCATTTTATTAAAAAAAAAAAAAAAAGAAAGGGAGTTCATTTATTTGTTAACAAATTATAAATAAATCGGGAAAAGTCATTAAACCTTATTTGGCCAAACAAGAAAAAACTCTTGGCAACCACGATGTTTAACTATAAATCAAATCTTTTTTTATTTCTTTATTTGTAAAGATTGTGTAACTCCATTATATTTCTTCGGATTGAGTTGCAGGTGTTGCAGGTGATTACACAAAACATTTCGTAAGTTCAAAATATGATCAAAAAATAAATATGACAAAAGTAAGATATTTTTAAAGAGAGGTGAAATTTCGGGAACTATGATCATAACATTGATTTTATTTTTTTTTTCGCAAAAATTTAAATAATCTTAAAAAGTATGAAATCTCGAAAAATACAAATTTTTGTGTTTAATTTTATGTTTTCAAGAATGATAATGAAAACGTGCAAATTATTTTTATTAAAAATTCGGTTAGTCCATTTTAACCCACAAAGAACTTCTTTTTTACCGTTGAATCTAGAATTATTTTTTTCCTCGATAATCAGGCAAAAAGGATTTATTATTGATGAGTTATCTTACAAAGTGCCTAATTAGGATAGTTCAATTCATTCAATTGTTAAGGATAACATTGTAAAGTAACCTGACCTCTTTTTTTAAAAAAAAAAAAATAATAAGGTTGGTTTCACCAAAATATCCAAGATATACACCAAAAACGGGAATTAACCTATTTTCGATTTTGCTAAAAATAACGTTTACATTGCTGCGGATGCAGGTAATCCTATTTGAAATCTTTTATTTGACAACTAATTCCAAACAATTCACACATTTTACGAGCCATGTTGAGCGCACCATCCAGTTCGGATGCAAATTGACCATTTCCCTCATCAACGAAACCGTTCATTCACGAAATGACGAATATCACCAAATCGAGAGTCTAAATATAGTTTATGAGATCATTCTATTTATATACATATATACGAAATCCGATTAGCTTTAGCCGACCGGCATGGTTGATTCATTCTTATTTATTCCCGAACCAGTTATTCACAATGGGAAAATTCCAGTTCAAAAAGATCATATAAATAAGGCAACCTGAGAAGTTCCAATGCAATAATCATAAAAGTTTTATTACAACCAATTAATCTCAACTTTTGAAGAACTTCCTAAATTCCTGTACAATTGGTTAAACAACAACGATAAATATTCTTTTGTGTTATTGTTCCAAATCTAGGAAATAGGGTAATATTTTGTATCACCATAAAAATCTATGAGTTACATTATAAATAAATAAACAGTAAAAAAAAAAAATACAAGTATAAATAAGTTCTTTTTTTTTCCTGATATAAAAAAAAAAAAAAGAAAAAATTAATAATAATAATAAAGCCATCTAAACATGTCTCGACAAAATAATAAATTACATTATTATGCAGAAGGAGATATTTTAATCATCGTAGAGAATACAACATTTCGTATACACAAGAATATAATAGTATTAGCTTCAAAAATGTTTTATGATATGTTTAACTGCGCTGTACCAAATTCACCTTCAGATGATATACCGGAGATAGTATTAGAGGGAGAACAGAGTAAAACATTTGAAGATTTATTATCGTATATCTACCCCAATACATATATCATGATAGATTGGAAAAACGTCGGTGAATTCTTGAGATTTTCAGAAAAATACATCATCGATTCAGTCTTAATAAGCGCGAAAATGTTCCTTGAGAGAGAATTTCGCAAGAATCCTTTATATTCATTATTGCTCGCTGATACATATAATTTTAGATCCCTTTACAAAGAATCATCCAAATTGGTCCTAGACAAATTTCCAGAGTATAAAAAAAGAAAAGGAACCTTTTCTCAACTTTCTTCATATACTCGGGATTCTTTGACCAAAAAATACAATTCCTACACGGATTCTCTGGCTAAATTGGCCAATATAGAATTCACTTCAGGTTACTTACATTGTGATGAGTGTAACAAACCTACCGAACATGATATAAGGATCAATCAAGAATTTATTGAAAGAAGTAGACAAGTACAAGTGTTACCTTTGCCTTTACCACCCACCCCTCCTTCTATTACGAGAAGAAAATTATTTAATAGCCTTGGATATAGAACTTGTGATAATCAATTCATGACTTTTCAATTACCTAGAAAATTTAAAAAACATTTTGGTGTTTTTGAACCCCTAGAGTGTAAAAAACATAAAAAAGATCCTGATTTTTATCTTTACATTGAATTAGGTGAATAGAAACGATATATGGACTTTATATTATATTTACAAGATGTTAATGATCATTTCAATAGATTCATATTCAATTTCTTCATGTGTAATTTGTTTTTTTTATTATTCCTTATTTTATTATATATATTTTTTCCCTGTAACTAACTTTTTTTAAAAAGGAACTTTTTCAAATAAAAAATTTTGCATTTTCATCTTTCATCAACATTTCAAATTTGGAATTAAAAATTCATTTAATCAATCTTTGAAAATTTCGAAATTAAATTAACGTGCATGTGATGCATTCATGGACAAATCATTTTAGATTGTTTGACCCGTAACCTCTCATATGAAGTTATCCATGAATAAGATGACATACAAATTTATAAAGATGATTTATAATAAAATTTTTACAGCATGACGAAATTTTAGATAATTTAATGAATTGCATTTATTATTATTTTATCATATTTCTTAAAATGAATTTTTAAAACGTTTACAATTTTGGTTCCTTGTATTTGATATATATTATTTATATTGACATCTTTATGTGAGAAATTTGAATGGGTTTAATCATGACATATTGCTATAACTTTGTGACAAAAAAAGCAATTAAATTATCATATGTAATGGATGTATGTAATCAATTTGTTATTCATATAAAGATAATTTATTGATTTGATTTCCTTTTGGGTGAACCTTGTTCATCGATTTACATATCAACAAAACTTATTATAATATTGACAAAAATAACAACAATCAAAATTATAATTTAAATCGTTTCAAGGAGGTTCTCGAGATATTAGTATTAAATAAGAAAGATGATTTCCACCTGATTCAAGTTTCATACCTTTTTTTAATGATTTTTGATTAAAATAATATTCCTCACAACATATGCACATTACTAATTTAATAAATGGAGTCTTTGTTCCTACAAAGGATTTTATTTTTTTTTTTTGTTTGTTTGAGCAAAAATTGATATAAAAATAAAATTCATTACATCATGATAGAAATAAAAATAATTTTTAATAAAAAAAGAAAAAAGGGTCAAATACTATTTTTGGTTTTCCGCAGCTTCCGATGGTTGGTAATTTATATTTCATATATATCACCGTTTCCTTTTACCAGAATCTTTATTAACAACCTAAATGGAGCTTAAAATTGAATGAATAGCAGAATGAATTTTACCGAAAAAAGAAAGTAAAAACAACAGATTCGATTATGGATGACGTCAAATTATTAATTAAACATCAAAGGGAAATTTTTGGAAACCTCGACTATTATCGATTTTGGTTACATAACGGTATTCCATCTATCGGAAACTATATCTTGTAGGTCATTACAACAAGAATACTAAAATACAATATTATTATTCCATTCCATAAAATTAAATACAATAAATTTAATACTTTCCATCGTAGCCAACGGCATACAACGAATAAACGTGAATCGTCAACTACTTCTTATCTAACGGTTCAGGTGGACGTTCGGTTAGTGCTTACTAACTTTTTTCTACTACATGATACATTTGCATAAGATTTGTGTTATACCTTTCAGGAAAAATTGCCCAATTCCAAGCATATGAAGCTGTCCCAACATTGATCCAACTCTGCTTTAGCAAATTTTTCTCTGCTATTTGTGCTGCTGCGTGAGCATAGTTGGAGGATTGATTGTTATTGCACTTTTAGCGTGAGCATCACGTAATAAAATTCACGCGTCTAATTTGCCAATGATAAAAATTGATCTCGATAATTTTTTATAATCGATAAGTAAGTACCAAAGGTATGAGATATGTTATGTTTCAAATTTTTATACTTTTCAAGAAAAAAAAAAATCTCTAAACTTTTTTTTTAAAAAAAAGTAATTTCTAATAATTAAAAATAAAAATAAACGTCTAACGTCATCCGACAAACCGCGAATTTGGAATCAAAAAAAGAGTTAGTCAAAACAATATTTAGAGAACTTATTCTTGTTAACCTTTAATTTTTCTTTAGCGATCAAAAAATTATATAGGCTGTTTTTATTGTACTGCAACATTGAATTTCTCATCGATGACGAGATCATTCTGCAGTCAGAAGTATAATTTTTATTACTTGCTAATTTTAGTAATAATAAATGTGGGATAGACAAAATGTATTTTTAATTTAGGCCAATAATATCCAAATTGCCAACATAAATACGTGAACCAAATAGTTTGATACGTCATATTTATTGATATTGATATATAAAAATTAATACGCGATCGCGACGCGTAAAATTATACTATATAAACTCCCCAATACCCCAAAATTTCGATAAATCCCTTTTTGCTTGTACAAGATTATTTTTAAAAATACAAAGTAAAAAATTTTCGTGAGCCGTTTTGAATTTTACATTTTCTTGTCAGTTTTCTCTTTAATATTTTCGCGATAAATATGAAAGACCTTGGATTTCTTTTCCTTCTCTTCTTGTCCTTTTTTTTATTTCTTTAGAAAAACTTTGAAATATACTTTTTTTTCTCCTTCGTTGATGTACTTTATTACCAGGTAAGCTTTTTAAGTCTACTGAAAAAGATCGAGCCGTTTGGTCTATTGATTCCGGAGAAGGGATCACGGCGAAGTAAATATCGTTATCTGTTGCTGTCTTTATTTTTGTTGTTTTGCTTGATGAGGCTACTTTGATGGAAGAATAACAAAAGTAATGTCAGTAATTGGTGGCTGCCTTATGAAAATGTCGCGGTTTACGTGGATTACTGATCTTGTTCTTTATGAAGGGTACCGCCAGGACATTTTAGTTCATTTGACATTGATTGAGGATGAAGAAATTTTGCTTCTGATTACTCACAATAGATTTTATTTTTTTATTTTTCAATAGTGCTAGCAAAAAGAATCGCAAGTGTATATGAATGATAAATTTGCAGTAGAGATGCCATTAAAGATTACGCCCTAACGCCTCAATAAGCTTGGCTTTAAGATTAGCACGATGGATGACAAATTTTGATACGAAATTTTAGCCCGTATCGACGAAAAATAAAAGTGAAATTTTCGAAATGAGTTAACCGCTTAATTTATTAAACTTACAATTTATTTATATATATATATATATTTTTGCATTACAATATAAAATCCGCAGACACCATTATTATTTTCGAGAATGAGGATGTGATGCGTATGGAGCATATTCTATAAATCGAATTTTCACCTCCATTTATTTTTTATGTAAAATGTTTTAATTCATATATACAAATAAAAAAAATAAATAAATCCAAAACACCAAAATTGGGTTAATTATGTGTTTATGTGTTTAGAAGCCAACCAAAAATATATATTTATGTAACAGATAAATGAACTCTACTCTAAAAAAAAAAAAAAAAAATTTGTAGAATTAATTACTACCTGTTATGGAAATAATTGGCAAAGTATGATTCTTTTCCTTACTAGGCAGGGATTCGATTATGTTATCAAAAAAGATTAATAATAAAACAAAATTTTAATGCAGATAATGCATGATGACCAAAAAAAATAGGTATAAAACTTAAAACATAGTAGTTTTTTTAATTTAAGGTTCTTAATGACAGAATTTCTACTAAAAAAAATCAAAATTTATGTTTAAATTTACATTATTAGTATCATTTTAATTAATATATTTAATAGAAATTTATTGTTAATTTATTAAATCATTCTATACTTATTTACATCAATTAAAAGAAAATATATTTTATAAATAATTATTTGCCAATTCAAAGGTAGATTAATTTAGATAATTCATAGTAATTATGATATAAAAAATAAAAATAAAATGATAAACAAATAAATAATACAAATTTACAATATATAAGCTTTAACAGTTTCATAATTGAATAGTTCTGACATTCTGATCACTATCTCAGAATACATTTTAACTTTAATATATGATTTAAAGTCTTTTTCTCTTTAATTCTATTATTATCTAAATTTTATTCAAAAAAATTACTTATTTTATTAGCAAGATATTATATATAATTCATGTTTATTATAATCTGTTTTAATAATTTTAAAGTATCATCCAAATAAAATTCCCTCATATTTCTAAGTAAGAACTTTTTAATTTAAGATGTTTATAATATCAAAAAATATTAAAGGTTATTTTGATTCAAAATCAAGAATACTCTAAAATAGGAAGTAATTTTTGACCAAATTGTTATTTAAATAAATTATTTGTAAATTTCAAAAAATTATTCTTTATGTATATTAATTTACAGAAAGAAAGTTTTGAATGATAATTATTATCATATTTAATATCAAAGGTAAAGGAAGGGTTATACAAAAGGATGTAAATGATTATTTATGTGTTTTATACCAAAGGGTAAGAGTAAATCATTTATGTGTTCAGAATGTTATTTAGTAAAATAAATAAATTTAATTTTTGAATAATAATATAAAATGTTATTATTATCATAAACTAATAAAATTAAATTCTTTAAATAATCTCAACATTATATAATAATAATTAATATTATTTATATTATTTGATAGATTAATAATTTGTGAATTATTATTAATAATCGCTAAAATTTTGATCTTTAGATTTAAAATGTTTGATAAATTTTAAACTAATTGCAATTTTAACATGGATAACAATGAAAAAATTATAAAGATTTTAAATTTTCAAGATATTCAAGGTCTTGAAAAGATTAAATGTTTATAAAATAATAAGGATCAAATATAAGACAAATTAAATACTCGTAATACTTTTTAAAGTAGACAAAGAATCTTATAAAAATTTTTGTTAAAGACAAAACTGATTTTTAAAAAAGCTGAATTATTAAAGTAAATATAAAAGAAAATAAATTTTTACGTAATCAATATTTTATTATAAATTAAACTTTATTAATAATATAATAATATACAAAGCAGTTTACATTTATGTGATTTAATAAATTTTTCAAAACTTTTAAACTAATATTATTAGGTTAAAATAGTTGTACTTGAATTTTTAGATTCTTAATTAAATTATATAATGAAAGTAAGTAAAAAGTAAAATTATCAAATTTATAAAAGTTTCTGTAATCC